GCGAAACTCCGTCTCAAAAAAAAAAAAAAAAGAAACATAAACTCTAGATAGGTGAACTTATTAGGCCTTTTTAAGATTCTAAGATTCTTGTATTTTCAGCTATAAGTAACACTTCAAGCATGAAAATATAAAAAAGCAAGATGGCTTTGTGAATTCTAAATTTTCTGGGATACCACAAGTAGTAGTTGATTTTATAATAACAGGAAGAGCATAATGCTATGTTTCAATACATACAATGTATAGTGATCAGATCAGGGTAATTATATATTAATCAGATCAGGTAATCCATCATCTGAAACATTCATCATTTCTTTGCATTGGAAACATTCAGTATCCTCCTTCTAGCTATCTGAAACTGTCTATTAGTGTTAACTATAGTCATCTTACAGTGGTATAGGAGTCCCCAACACCCAGGTCTGTAAGGAACCAGGCTGCACAGCAGGAGGTGAGCATTACAGCCTGAGTTCTGCCTCCTGTCAGATCAGTGGTGGCATGAGATTCTCATAAGAGCCAGAACTCTATTGTGAACTGTGCATGCGAGGAATCTAGGTTGTTTGCTCCTTATGAGAATCTAACTAATGCCTGATGAGCTCAGGTGAAACAGTTTCATCCTGAAACTATCTCCCACCACCACCCCCATTTGTGGAAAAATTGTCTTCCATGAAACTGGTCTCTGATGCCAAAAAGGTTGGGAACACTAGAAACATATTCCTCCTATCTAGCATTAATTTTGTATCCTTTAACAAATCTCTCCCTATCTCTCCCTTCTTCCCAGCTTTCCCAATCTTTAGTATCATCTGTTATACTTTTTTACTTCTATGAGATCAACTTTCTTTAGCTTCTACATGTGAGAGAGAACTCGCAATGTCTAACTTTCTGTTCCTGGCTTGTTTCACTTAACAAAATGTCTTCCACGTCCATTCACGTTGCTGCAAATAACAGGATTTCACTCTTTTTTTATGGCTGAATAGTATTCCCATCGTGTATTAACATATATACCACATTTTCTTTATCCATTCATCTGTTTTGTTGTTGTTGTTGTGTTTGAGTCAGGGTCTCACTCTGTCATGCAGACCAGAGCGCAGTGGCACAGTCTCACCACAGCCTCCACTGCCTGGGCTCCAGCAATTCTCCCACCTCAGGTCCCAAGTAGCTGGAACCACAGGCACATGCCACCAAGCCCTGACAATTTTTTACTTATATGTAGAAGCGAGGTCTTCCTATGTTGCCCAGGCCGGTCTCAAACTCCTGAGTTTAAGTGATCCTCCTGCCTCAGCCTCCCAAATTCTTGGGATTACAGGTGTGAGCAACTGTGTCCAGCCTTGCTTGTTTCGTTTTTTGAGACAGGGTTTGGCTCTGTTGCCCAGGCATGAGTGCATGGCCCAATCAAGGCTCACTGCAGTCTCAACCTCCTGGGCTCAAATGATCCTCCCACCTCAGCCTCCTGAGCAACTGGAACCACAAGCCTGCACTAGCACACAGCCAGTTAATTTTTCTACATATATGTACGTGTATACACATACACACACACACACAGAGCTAATTTTTCTATATATGTGTGTGTGTGTGCCTCAGCCTCCCAAAGTGCTGGAATTACAGGCATGAGCCACTGCACCCAATCCCATTCATCTGTTGTTGGACACCTGCTGATTCCGTATCTTGGCTACTGTGAATAGTGCTGAAACCTTTACTTGAAAAAAGATAAGACTTTTGCTTCTAAAGAGGTGAACTGGGTATCCGGTTGACTTTTTACTATATATAAAGGTTTATGTATTTACTGGTAGTCAATACATGAACCTGGTACAAAGGTTCATGTATTGCCTCCCAGCCTACCAAAAAAATACCCTTACACAATCTGGTAACAAACCTAAGGAAAACAGCTGTCTTTAAAGCAACTAATAGGAAATTTTCTGATCAATTTGCATGCTATAGTTGCAGTGCCCTGGACAGCATATCTATTTTCATGCACTATCAGGAATACTATGTCTTAAACTACGATATAAGGAGACACACATTCATATATACAGTTAAAGCAAGAAATCAGTACTGGACCACTGGACCACATGAAGGACAGCATTTTTATCACTCGTCTTCCAGTACTACTCTCTCAAACACTTAAGTATAATAAAGGTCAGAATCTGATGCTTAACACTGAAAATGAACTCAAACTGCCTCCCTCATTATTATAAACAGTATCTGTCTTGGAACTGAAGCCTCAATTTAATCACTAAAGCAACTGTATTTTTCTCAAAAGTAAACAGTTTTGTTTATTTGAAAGACATTTTATAAGAGTAATACAAACAGATCTAAAGTATGATGGGTTTATTCTGCTTGAAACTACTTTTTGAGGTTATGTACTAAACCAGGAGTAATTTTATGATTTTGTCTCATCCAACATTTGTCTAAAGGAATTTGGATTTGGTAAGGTTATTGTTGTTTTAAAAAATTCTTCACTGAATTTTTTAATGTTTTTATTTCCATGATTCCAGGAGGGTTGGATCTTCATTTAATCTAAATGTCCTGGGGCTCAACCAGATTTGCTTTCTCTCCTCACTTCGTACTTTGTACATCTGAATTCATTTTAAAGTTTAATTTTCAAGAATGTTACAATGTTACTAGTAAAAAGAAACTAAGTCGTACAAGTATGGTATCCAAGTTCCGACTTCCATCTCCACTCCCACCTACCAAAAAATGAACCAACCAGGAAAATCGAAAGCAGACTACAGTTCAAGGTTACAGGACCTGTAAGTTACAGCATAGTGAAAAATTCCAGGTCCCTTGTGTTGGCTATATTTACTTTTGTAAGCTCTAAATAGCGACGGCAGAGCACTTTATCAGAAACCGGGAAAAAGGAATCTGACCACCTGGCAGGCAGAAGGAACCAGAGTCAGGGGCTCACCGCCAAACCAAACTCCCATACAGCCAGCAGCCAGCAACCCTTCTGCGCAAAGTTAAAACTTTCCAACAGCAGTAGCAACAGGCTACAGGGGAGGAAACCGGAAGAGCCCCAAGGCACCAATGGCCAAACTGCTTCCAAAGTCGCTTCGCCGAAAATTCATTGCCTGTCGCGAGGGAAACGAACCACTAATACAGCCGCCTTGCGCCCACGGTGATGGGCGCGGCTCTTGAGTCCCTCAAATGCCAAATACAAAAGAGCCTTCTCCTCTAAAGACACGTAAATGCACCGAGTCCGGCTGTGCCTCGCCCCAAAATCCTTCCGGTCCCCCAACTCTGCAACCAGAGTGGAAAACTACTCTCGTAGCAGCACCCTCGCTGTTCATTACCTGCCGTTCCGCACGGGCGACGAAGTCGGATTACCGGCCACTGTCGCTGACTTCGGAAGACATCCCGAGACCACCCTTCTCAAGGCCGTCTGACCAGTCCGAGCTGCCATGATACACTCTCCAAAGCCGGTCGTCACCTCCCGGACCTACCCAGCGGCACCGCCCTCCTCTGGTCGGGCCCGGTCGCCCGGCTCCGTTGTCTTCCAGCCAATCGGCTGGCCCCCTGCGCAGCTAGACACGCCCCCTCATCCCTTCCGGGTTGCTCAAGGCTGACGCACGCTCACCCTGCGTAGGGCTGACTGTAAACGTTTCCATCAGCCTGTCAGCCAATCGGAGGAGATGCGGGCCCGCCAGGACACACCTCTCTAGCCAGACCGACCAATCGCCTTTTCCGCGCGCTCGCGCGCTTTGCGTAATACTCAGTGAATGCTCAGCCCACGTCCCGCGCTGGAACTGTTCCTGGATTAAAAAACCGCCCTGGTTCTCCTGAGGACCGCTTCCGGTTGGGAGGCCTGTCACGTGGGGCCTGTCACGTGAGCCTCGCCGGGGCATGGGGGGCAGCGGGAAGCCCCACAGTTTGAGTATTAATTATGTAACTGTCCAAACCCGTGAGTCCGGACTCAGACAGGGCCTCGCTCCTAGCTGCGAAGCCTGTCAGTCAGCGTCCTGCTCATTAATGATTGTCTAATACAAAGCCTGCCGTACCTACCTCATGGGGTAATTGTGAGGGCAACATAAGGTCCTGTCATTAGGAAAGAGACTCAGTTTCCAGCAGCATTTCGATCGGCCTTTCGATCGGCCTTCTTCCTAAGAGGTCCACATTTTAATTGGTTTCTCGAATGGTTTGGGTTTCCCTTATTCCATACTAAATAGACGCCTTCGCTTTGATTTACTTATTTCGGTGATCAGTCATGAAGTCCAGACTTCTTGTTCCCCTCAGTTTGTTTGTTCTCAGGTCTTAAGATTTGTACGCCAATAGTTTCCTGCAAAGTGTAAAGTGAGGATGGCAATACTAGTACTATTTAATACAGTTTGGGAATGGTAAATGAGAGTGTGGATTAAATGTAGTCAGATATTTGTGTGTCACCTACTAGATGCTGGAAAAGTGAACAAAAGTCTTCACTGTCACCGAGCTTATATTCTAGTGGGGGAAAGAAACCAATTAGTATATAGTACAATGGCAGCTTGTTACATGTCCCGTAGACTAAACAGTAAAGCAGGGTAAGGAGAGGAAGAAGGAATAAGGTAGGGTGCTGATTTATATAGGGTGGTCAGGAGGGGCTCTGAGAGGATGACACTGAACAAAGGCCTAAAATTAAGTGAGGACCTGAACTCTGATTCCTTGGGAGGAAATGACCTTCTGATGTATGGAACAACTGCAGAGGCCCCAGGCAGGAACAATCTTGGCATGCTTTAGGAAGAGCAAGGAGTTTGCAGCACAGGGAGAGGGGGAAAGTGGTAGGAAATAAGGTCAGAGAGGTAGGTAGAGCTTTATCGTAGTGCCATGGAAGCCGTAGTATATGCTTCCAATTTTTGATTGTATTCTAGGCATGAAGGAAAGCCATTAGAAGTTGAGTGTAGAATAGTTTTACATTTACATTTAAAGCAATATTCCAGCTGTTGTGTATGTATGATTATTTTCTCCTCTTGCTTCGTTCTTTGCAGTCTAGATACTTTGCGGAGTAAATTGAAATCTTCAGCTACGCTGTTTCCGCCATCTTTCCGTGCTGTCGTAATGGTGCGCATAAATAGCCTGGCTGATGCTCTCAAGAGCATCAACAATGCCGAAAAGAGAGGTAAACGCCAGGTGCTTATTAGGCCGTGCTCCAAAGTCATCGTCCGGTTTCTCACTGTGATGATGAAGCATGGTTACATTGGCGAATTTGAAATCATTGACGATCACAGAGCTGGGAAAATTGTTGTGAACCTCACAGGCAGGCTAAACAAGTGTGGCGTGATCAGCCCCAGATTTGATGTGCAACTCAAAGGTCTAGAAAAATGGCAGAATAATCTGCTTCCATCCTGCCAGTTTGGTTTCATTGTACTGAGAACCTCAGCTGGCATCATGGACCATGAAGAAGCGAGACGAAAACACACAGAAGGGAAAATCCTGGAATTCTTTTTCTAGGGATGTAATACATATATTTACAAATAAAATGCCTCATGGACAAAAAAAAAAAACAAAAACAAATCAGCTACAAGGTTTGTCAAAACATTTTTGCAGTACAACACATGATGTACTTGTAGATTGAGGTGGTTCTGTAGCTGCATGGCATTTCTGGATCAATTACTTTCAAATACACAATTCTTGCTCTTCTTTAAATCTTAAATATTTCTGGCTGGGCTTGGTGGCTCACACCTGTAATCCCAACCCTTTGGAGGCCAAAGCGGGCAGATCACCTGAGGTCGGGAGTTCAAGACCAGCCTGACCAACATGGTGAAACCCCCCGTCTTTAAAAAAAAAAAAAATCTTAAATATTTCCAGTAAGGTCTTCTTTAAAGCACATTTTCACATTTCAGTAGCACAGGCCTGAAATCCCAACACTTTGGGTTGCTGAGGCAGGAGGATCGCTTGAGGCCAGGAGTTTGAGACCAGCCTAGGCAACATAGTGAGACCCCATATCTACAAAAAATTAAACAATTAGCAGCTGGGCGCGGTGGCTCACACCTGTAATTCTAGCACTTTGGGAGGCCAAGGTGGGTGGATCACCTGAGGTCAGGAGTTCATGACCAGCCTGGCCATCACGGTGAAACCCCATCTTTAAAAAAAAAAAAAATCATAGAAAAGAAAAAAAAAAAAAAAACAATTAGCTGCGCATGGTGGTACACACCTGTAATCCCAGCTAGTAGGGAGGCTGAGGCAAGAGGATCACTTGATCCCAGGAAGTTTGAGATTGCAGTGTGCTGTGATCATGCCACTGTACTCCAGCCTGGGTGACAGAGTGAAACCCTGACTCAACACCAAAAAGAAAAGAACATGTTAAATAACACCAAGGTGATACTATCTGCCAAGTCCAGATTATGGGAAATTCTATAGGATAAGTGACCCAGTTTCTTCAATGAGTAAATATCAAGTCAAAAAGGAAGGGGAGGCCAGGCGCGGTGGCTCACGCCTATAATCCCAGCAGTTTGGGAGGCTGAGGTGGGTGGATCATGAGATCAAGAGATCGAGACCCTCCTGGACAAGGTGAAACCTCGTCTCTACTAAAAATACAAAAATTAGCCGGGCGCGGTGGCTCACGCCTATAATCCCAGCACTTTGGGAGGCCGAGGCGGGTGGATCACGAGGTCAAGAGATCAAGACCATCCTGGTCAACATGGTAAAACCCCGTCTCTACTAAAAATACAAAAATCAGCTGGGCATGGTGGCGCATGCCTGTAATCCCAGCTACTCAGGAGGTTGAGGCAGGAGAATTGCCTGAACCCAGGAGGCGGAGGTTGCGGTGAGCCGAGATCGCGGTGAGCCGAGATCGCGCCATTGCACTCCAGCCTGGGTAACAAGAGTGAAACTCCGTCTCAAAAAAGAAAAAGAAAAAAAAAGAAATTAGCTGGGCATGGTGACGCAAGCCTGTAGTCCCAGCTACTCGGGAGGCTGAGGCAGAATTGCTTGAACCCAGGAGGCAGAGGTTGCGGTAAGCTGAGATCGCACCATTGCACTCCAGTCTGGGTAACAAGAGCAAAACTCCGTCTCAAAAAGAAAAAAAAGAAAAAAAAAAGGAAGGGGAGGGAGAGACTGTTGTAGATTTAAAAGATGTAAAAGACTTTTTTATTTTGTTTTGTGCAAACTAAATACAAAAAGACATATATGAGACTAAGAAATTTGAAAGCTGGATACTAGATGATTTTAAGAAACATGAAAGGCTAGGTACAGTGGGCTTATGCCCGTAATCCCAGTACTTTGGGAGGCTGAGATGGGAGGATCACTTGAATCTAGGAGTTGGAGTCTCCAGTGAGCTAAGTTAGCACCACTGCACTCTATCCTGGGCGACAGAATGAGACACTGTCTCTTAAAAAAAAAAAAATTAAAAGTTTAATTTTTTTTTTTTAAGGCGGGGTTTCACCATGATGGCCAGTCTGGTCTTGAACTCCTGACCTCAGGTGATCCACTCATCTCGGCCTCCCAAAGTGCTAGGATTACAGGTGTGAGCCACAGCGCCCGGCCAAATTTTAATTTTTTTTTTAAATTTTATGGGAGACGGAGTTTCGCTCTTGTTACCCAGGCTGGAGTGCAATGGCTCGGCTCACCGCAACCTCCGCCTCCTGGGTTCAGGCAATTCTCCTGCCTCAGCCTCCTGAGTAGCTGGGATTACAGGCACGCGCCACCATGCCCAGCTTATTTTTTGTAGTTTTAGTAGAGACGGGGTTTCACCTTGTTGACCAGGATGGTCTCGATCTCTTGACCTCGTGATCCACCCGCCTCGGCCTCCCAAAGTGCTGGGATTACAGGCTTGAGCCACCGCGCCCGGCCCAAATTTTAAATTTTTAAAAAATTGTAGGTGTAGTGATACCTACAATCTTTATCTCAGATATTTATACGGAAGTATTTTACAGATGAAATATGATGTCTGTGCTTTGCTTTAAAATAACCCAATAGGTGTTGGGGATAGAGTGGATGAAACAAAATTAAGCATATATTGATAATCAATGAAATGAATGATGGTACAGGGGGTTCTTCATAGTTATATCTAATTTTTGCGGATGTTTGAAATCTTCCATAATAAAACATTTTATCTGTACCTTTTTATTTCTGCCTCTGTGATCTTTCCAAATGAAATCCTTTTGATTGACTTCCACTTAGAATCACACTGTTTATTTATAGATTTTACTCACTCTTCAGAACCCTATAGACTGAACAGAACCAGAAAGGCTTCAAGTAGATAGAGATGGCAATGATTTCTAGTAGTAACAGCATTTTTTTCTTTTATTTTTATAAAAATATGGAACATTTCACAAATTTGAATGTTATTCTTGCTGAGGGACCATGCTAATCTTCTCTGTGTTGTTCCAGTTTTAGTATATGTGCTGATGAAGTGAGCACAGTAACAGCATTTTTAGTCACTCCTCCAATCAAAACAAATATAGGATGAATTTTAACCACAGAATATGATCTTTACCCCAATATCATATATATTTCTTTCCTGAAATAAAGTTAGTTTTAAAAGTTAACATAATTGTATTACTGGCACCTTTTCACTCTACCATATTCAATGTGTGTGGTGGCTCATGCCTGTAATGCCAGCACTTTGGAAGACCTAGGAGGGAGAATCACTTGAGGCCAGGAGTTCAAAACCAGCCCGGGCAATTAGTGAGACCCTATCTCAAAAACAAAACAAGGCTGGGAGCGGTAACTCACACCTGGAATCCCAGCACTTTAGGAAGCCAAGTCTGGTGGGTCACCTGAGGGTGGGAGTTCGAGACCAGCCTGACCAACATGGAGAAACCCCATCTCTACTAAAAGTACAAAATTAGCCAGGTGTGGTGGTGCATGTCTGTAATCCCAGCTACTCGGGAGGCTGAGTCAGGAGAATTGCTTGAACCCAGGAGGCGGAGGCTGCAGTGAGCTGAGATTGCACCATCGCGCTCCAGCCTGTGCAACAAGAATGAAACTCCGTCTCAAAAAAACAAAACAAAACAAAAATAGACAATGTTTTTGGGAAATGTTTGGTTTAAACACCACCTTCCTTGTTCAAGAACAACTTCCTTGAATACCTGTTGGAACTGAGTTACAAGAGATTAGCCCTATTACATATGTTAGTTTCTGATAAATAGGGGAATAGCAAAGGACATTAACTAGACATTTTGTCCTTACTGACTGGCAATGTTGCTTAGGGACTGGTCAGGAAAACAGAAATTATACCAGTTAAACAAAAAATATAGTGACATTGTTTAAAAGCATTTGAGGAATTAAGGTGACCGCCCAAAAAAGGAAAGGTTAGACACGGTGGTTCATGTCTGTAATCTTAGCACTTTGGGAGGCTGAGCCAGGTGGATCACTTGAGCCCAGGAGTTTGAGACCAGCCTGGGCAACATGGTGAGACCTCGCCTCTACAAATACAAAAATTAGCCAGGCGTGATGGTGTGCACCTGTACTCCCAGCTACTTGGGAGGCTGAGGCAGAGAACTGCTTGAACCCAGGAGGCAGAGGTTGCAGTGACCTGAGATCGAGCCACTGCACTCCAGCCTGGGCAACAGAGCGAGACTCTGTCTCTAAATAAATAAATAAATAAATAAAAGGAATATTGAGATAAGAAAACAGTAACGGCAAGAAGTAAATATCACCTTGTGTCCCCAAGACCTTTTTTTTTTTTTTTTTGGAGATGGAGTCTTGCTCGTGTTGCCCAGGCTAGAGTATAATGGCACAGTCAGCTCATTGTTACCTGCACCTCCAGGGTTCAAGCAATTCTCCTCAGCCTCTCGAGTAGCTGGGATTACAGGCATATACACTACAACCCGCTAATTTTTGTATTTCCAGTAGAAACAGCGTTTTACCATGTTGGCCAGGCTGGTCTGGAACTCCTGACCTCATAATCCACCCATCTTGGCCTCCCAAAGTGTTAGAATTACAGACATGAGCCACCATGCTTGACCTGTTTTTGTTAGTATTTGTTAATGATTCCCTTAATACTTCTCCAAAGGGACCTGTCATTTGCTCTGGTAACTATAGACTGGGAAAAGTGGAATAACCAAATATTTTGAGACCTGTGGGACACAGGGTCCAAATTCACGTTGTTATACAAAGTATTATAATATCCTTTTTTTGTTTTTGAGATGGAGTCTCACTCTGTCTCACTCTGTCACCCAGGCTGGATTGCAGTGGCACAATCTCGGCTCACTACAACCTTTGCCTCCCAGGTTCAAGCCATTCTCTTGCCTCAGCCAGCCACCATGCCCGGTTGATTTTTTTGTATTTTTAGTAAAGACAGGGTTTCACTATGTTGATCAGACTGGTCTCGAACTCCTAACCTTGTGATCCGCCCACCTTGGCCTGCCAAAATGCTGAGACTACAGGTGTGAACCACTGCGCCTGGCCCCATAATATACTATAGAGTGGGTGTATATAAGGGACAGGCCATACATGAAGTTCTGACCCAGATCTGGCTCACAGTGGCAAGGACCCACCACATCTTATTTCCCAAGTTCTCCAAGTTGGTTAAGTGGCTCGTGCCTATAATCCCAGCACTTTGAGAGGCCCAGGTGGGAAGATCACTTGAGGCTAGGTGTTTCAGATTAGCCAGGGCAATACACCAAGACCCCGTCTCTACAAAAACTTTAACAAGTAGGTAAGTGCAGTAGCTCATGCCTGTAATCCCAGCACTTTAGGAGGCCGACATGGGTGGGTCACTTGAGGCCAGGAGTTCAAGACCAGCTTGGCCAACATGGCAAAGCCCTGTCTCTACTAAAAATATAAAAATTACCTGGGTGTGGTGGCGCACACCTGTGGTTCCAGCTACTCCGGAGCTAGAGGTTGCAGTGAGCTGAGATGGTGCGACTGCACTCCAGCCTGGGTGACAGAGTAAGACTCTATCTCAAAAAATAAAAAGGCTGGGCACGATGGCTCATGCCTGTAATCCCAGCACTTTGGGAGGCCAAGGCGGGCGGATCACGAGGTCAAGAGATGGAGATCATCCTGGCCAACATGGTGAAACCCCGTCTCTATTAAAAAATACAAAAATTAACTGGGCGTGGTGGCGTGTGCCTGTAGTCCTAGCTACTTGAGAGGCTGAGGCAGGAGAATTGCTTGAGCCCAGGAGGCAGAGATTGCAGTGAGCCGAGATTGTGCCACTGCACTCCAGCCTGGCGCCTGGTGACAGAGCAAGACTCTGTCTCAAAATAAATAAATAAATAAAATAAAATAAAAAAAATAAAAAGTAGCTGGGCATGGTGATGTGCACCTGTAATCCTAGCTACTCAAAAGGCTGAGTTGGGAGGATCACCAGAGCCCAGAAATCTGAGACTGCAGTTAGTCACTGCACTACAGTTGGGACAACAGAGCAAGACCACATTTCTAAAAATAAAGCAAAACAAAACTAAAGAAGCAAGCCTGTGGGATAAGAACTATCACATTGGGATTTATTAGGGAAATTGGCTCCTGCAATTTTGAAGACTAAGCCCCTTGACAGGCCATCTGCAAACTGGAGGCCCTGAGATGCTAGTAGCTCGGTCCAAGTCCCAAGGTTCAGAACCAGGGAAGCCAATGATGTAACTCAGTCCAGGGTCAAGGCCTGAGAACCAGGAGGAAGGGGTGGGGGTGGGGTGTTGCTGGTGTAAATCCAGGAGTCCAAAGGCTGAGCACCTTGGGGTTGTTGTCCAAAAACAATAGAGGAGCCGGGCGCGGTGGCTCAAGCCTGTAATCCCAGCACTTTGGGAGGCCAAGGCGGGTGGATCACGAGGTCAAGAGATCGAGACCATCCTGGTCAACATGGTGAAACCCCGTCTCTACTAAAAATACAAAAAA